CAAAATTGTCTCTATATTACACTTTGATTTATCCTTATCTTACATACTGTAATATAATTGGTCATCAACTTAATTATGTCTCCAGTTTAAACAGAATCCTCCTTCTTGCAGAAACGGTAAGAGCTATAACGAATTTAGATTATCGAGCCCACTCAACACCGTTATTTCTCCATTTAAAAATGTTAGACATCTATAAACTAAATACATTCCATATTGCCAAATTTATGTTTATGTATCACCACAATTTGCTACCACCGTTTTTCTTAATTTATTTTTTACAAGTTATCATGTCCACAATTGTAATACTAGAAATGTAACAGATTACAGGTCTCACCCGTGTCGTACCAACGTCAAAAAATTTACAATTCTTTATCTAGGTCCAAAAATTTGGAATTCAATACCATCTTCAGTTGTGAACCCAGTTTCTCTAATCTCGTTTAGAAAGAAAATTTTACGGTTTCTACTCCATGAGTAAATCAGAATTCGTTATATATCTAAAACTCTACATCCTGTACTAAATCAATCCATAATTTAATAGTAATTTTATGACGGGATCTCTTTAAAACAAGCCTGATGGTTTCTTGAGGTCCTCTTGCCAACTAATCAAATAATAAAATACCCCAACCAGATAATCAATGTAAATATTGTATTTTTATGACGTATTTGGATGTAATGTTATATTGTAAACTTGGCGAATAATAATAATAATAATCACAGTTATTTGTTGAAATTGTCGCATGAAGCTCATGCATCTAATTTATTGACCATAGACCGGGTGTTGCTAAAGAATATTGTAGGACAGCTTATAGGTGGAATATTAATTAGGTTACTACGATAGGCTGCTTTGGTATACTTATTACGACTTAAAACCACCTCTGGACGATGAGAAGAAGGAAAGCGATATTCTTTGATAGGTCAGGTTGTAAATCGAACAGGAATTGGCCGTACGCGTCTCGAGAATGTTTCATTGGTTTCATTACTTGGTGGACCAGCTCCGAGTGGTGCAACCAATCCTGTGTCGGTCGTTTGAGATATGACGGAGGTCTGTTTCGGAATTGATTTTTCGAAAATGGGTTTTTCAGAATAGGATCTTGATCACAGATACTTTCAGTTATTTCAATGATTGAACCGCATCGTACAGCGGCTAATTCAATATTGTTACTGACAATGGTAGCTGGTGGATTACTTGTAAATGTTAGTTGATTTGCTTCAGATACGTGTTCCTTAGCTATTCCAACAGGTGTTACACCTAGGACTACTATCGAACTGTTCTGGACCAAAGAAGTTTATGAACCCAATCTGGTCAAGTTGCTCATGTGCACGAAATTTAGACTTAATTGCTGTGTTTGTGGCTTCCTCCTTAGATTTGTTATTTGGGGATTTGTTATTTCTTTTGCATTTACATCGCGTGGCGACGGCTTAATACCATTGTTTAATTTGATTTACCTTGGTTTTTCCGATTATTTCTAATAGCTTTGTGATCGGTATAGCTACTGTATTGTTGTACAGAGTAGCTACCGCGATTGAATATGTGATTAATTAGTTCCGGTCTGTCGAACCGGCATTGTGTACTTATATTACAACTAGCTTTTAATAAGTTATTTGAATTAATTTGAGTAATTTCTTCACTTAAACATTTGTTTGACATTTCAATTGACTCTAATGTATTTTGCAGTGCGGTAATTGTATTATTTTGTTCTTCTACTTCTCTGTTTCTTCCCTCAACTAAAATAGTCGAGTTCTTTACGTCGTTCCCTTTCTTTTAAAAGATCTTGCTTTAAACATGTTATTTCGTCTCTTTCGCTTAACTTAGTTAGTTCACAATTTTGAGACTCATTGTTTGACTCGATCTGCATTTGCATGATTACCATATCCAGCTTTATCCCTTCGATATCAGCAGCGAGAAAATTACATCGACAGTCATAGTGGCAGATCCTTGCAATATAGTGCTAGAAATAGAAGTAGATCTCACCTCATCTTGTTCCACAGAAAAGGTTTCATTCATGTTTAGCCTTTCCACAGGCACTTGAAAAGTTGACTCTAGTGTTGTGTTATCGCCATTTGACGTCTTCGAGTCTTTTGCGAAATTACCACTTATTGAAGAATCAGCATGTCAGCTAACTCCAAACTAGTCCTTCCTTTCAGTATTAGGATGTTTTGTTTACCGGGATGCCACGTTAATGTTAAGTCCAGATAAGAGCAAGTAAACATTTTAGAACGTCCCCCGGGAGAATTCCAAATACCGAGCAATTTAACACCGTTTTCAACAAAATGGCTCAGGGATTCTAGGTTTCCAGCCCATCTAAAACGTTTGCCGTCATATCAAAGATATGAGCAATCTTGGTGTTTATTTATTCCAGAAATATCTGCGCATTTAGCAAATTTATTTGAAGTATTTGAAGAGCTCACTTTTAAATGACCCGCCGTCATTTTGGTCGCTCGTAATGATACTGATCTAGCACTTCCAAAACCTAAAACAAACTATCTTAAACGGACGGCGAAACTTAGGCGAACTTAGGAACGGGACTTAGGCGAAAAAGGCATCTTCGCTTTACCAATTTAAAGCAGTATGTCCATTATACCAGAGACCAATGTGAGTTAAAATAGTTTGTGAATATAACACGCCCCATCTGAAAACCAACACATGTATTTGCAACAATGTTGTGTATGGCCAGCGTGGCTAAATAAATTTGTAAGTAAGTATTGTTTAATTAACAATTTCTCTTTCTAAACCGCACACAACTAAGGCAGGATTACAACAATTTATGCTATATAAATAACCATTTAGAGCAAAGTATTTTAATCTTAGACTTGTATGAAAAACGGAAGCTTCTCGAGAAAGTGAAAAATTAAGGCATTTATCATATTGTATAGTGAGTGATAAAGTTTAGTTATTTTAGCTTCAAATTTAACCTTGGAAGTTGAATTTCTAACATCAAGATAAATAGAGTTCCATATAAGGAAATTGTTGACGGAAAGAAAAACTTTTTAAATTTTTCAGTTCTACATCTATACTCTTACATTTGGTAATGAGCAGTTCGTAAAGGAATATAAGATCTTTTATTCATCAATCTAGGCAAAAGCTGATCTACTAAATATGGAGCAGTATGTTTGTTAACTATCTTATAGAAATGCGACAATTTATGAATCTTTCTTCTGACGTTCAACTCTTCCCAAGCAAGTTCGTCCCAAAGGAGTCTTGAATTAGTACCTGCCATAGCCCCGGTAACGACTTTATAGCTGACTCATATTGAACACTTTCAAGTAACTCGCTATTTCTAGCAGAACAATTATCCCATATAAGATCCCCATACTCCATAATTGGACGTATCAAACTTTTATACAAACAAGCAAGAGTTGACCTATCAATTTAAACTTTAATGACTTTAACAAACTTAATCGTTTAGAGACCTTTTCATATAATTGAAAATATATGACTATTCCATGAGATATTATTTTGAAGAGTATAAGGAGTCCTTGGATAATCCATAATCGAAAATTGTTTGAGATAACAATAATTACTGAATCATTTATGAACAATTAATATCTACAAAAGAATATATAATTATTGTTCAGAATCTGTTTTCATAGGTAAAGATACTTTTACGTCCTAACCTAAACAGAGTGAAAAATAACAATACGCGTTGCAGCAGCAGCAACAGCAGCAATAATAGATAACATTACAAATATAACACTTAGCTTTGCACCACGTTATTAATAACATATATAAAAATGTTGCTTGTCTGTGATCGGTTGATTCACGTACTGCAGTTGATCTCAGATAGCAGTGCAAATTTCTCCAAAAGCAGTGCAACAATCTGTAGTAACTGTGCAAAAATCTGTAACAAACTGATCTTATTGGTGGAAATCAATGGAATCTAAAATCTGAAAATTATCTTGGCCACAGCCATTACTTAACTGCGCGCTACATGCTGCTTTTTTCGTTGGGAAAGGTTTTACCTTAAAGCACAATAATGGCAATAAATCTTTTAATTCTCGATATTAGTAAAACCCCCCCCGCGATTACGAATATTCCATTAATTTTCATAGCTTAAGCCTCGGGTACTCGAAACAGGTTTGAAATTTAATTTTTAACCTCGTTTTTGAACTTTAGAAAATTTTTTTCAATTGTTTAATGAGAGTTTCGTAAAAAGACAGAGCTGGCATTTCAGCCTAGTATTATTAAAAACAAGGCTGAGTCAAAACCCAAGGTTGAAGATGCTTCATGCAAACACCTTTAGAAATGTGCATGCAATCCCCAATTTCATACCACAGAATATTATATTGCAATTGTCCTATTATCTATTAAAGTACAGTGTTAATTGTATATGATGCTTTTATTAATGGTATATTTAGCAAATAATTTAGTTTATAAACAAAGTTGTCCTGTTATTTTTTATATCACAAAAACATCAAAATCCGCCTCACTCACTTTTCAATTACATTTTGTGCTACACAAAGAGTGCTGACACAGAACCAATGTTGGTCGGTCTGTGTAGTTAACCCTGTGCTTCTATCTTAAAAACCAGGGAAGTCCGTAGAACTGATGCTAATGCTATATACTCCTATACGAGCAATAAAAATGAAAGTGTTATAAAGCGAATCGCAAAGAACCAAAACATATTGTGCTCGGTCATTAATTAATAGTGTTTATTTATGCGATATTGTTCCTCAGTGTTGATGTCGGCAACATTGTAACTTTTACACATTGTCATGGGTCATAGTCGTGATCGCCCAGAACAGTAAATATAAAAGTCTACAAAGTAGGCGAGCATATTGACATAGGTCGAGTGGTAATCATTAATCAAAGCGCTTTTACCGCCGAAAGGGTTGTGTGACATTTTCAAATCGTGGTTGGGCCGTGTAATGTGATATAAAAGAGCAGAAAATTTTGTCAGTCGATGGTTCTCTGTAAATGTACAGTAAATTAAAAATAGAATTATCTCTAACATTTATATGTATATTGTTAATCCGTAATTGATTTGTTTCTCTTGAAATTTGGACAAAACATTTAAGTATACACGTGAGTTTTTCAATTTATCTCCAATACTCGTGCTATTTTGATGCTCTTTGAATAAATTCACTCGAAACCATCCTATTACCTATCCATTACAGCTAATAAGTCAATAGTTAGTTTTGATTTGGGAATGCTTCAGGAACTCGCAATTCTTCAATGAAACGTAAAATTAACTTTTTGGTGACATGTGCCATGACGCAAATGTGAGAACAGATCCTTCGTTCGACTGTGCCGTCTGCAGATTTTACATTCAGTAAATTTGAAGCTAATGAATAACGACGCACGATATCTTCTCTCGGTTGTTTGAAGCAGACAAACAATGAACCCGGTGTGTGTGAAAGCCACAAGTCCACCCGTAGTTCTTTTTCTAGCGCTTGCAAACTACTTAGTAAAAACATCACCAGTTGGTCTTCACGGGCAGCTATTTCAGTAAAATCCCCGTATGATTTATTTGAGAATAGATCCCACATTATTAACACACCATGGCCACACCTGGAACTAGACATAGTCATATCGTGGCCAGCAACATACAGTGGGTTGTTACGAGCTTTAACTTGATCCTGTTTTCTAATCATAAATACTGCCGAAGGGAAAGGACAGCCGAACCATTTGTGTAGGCTCGTTGCAATGGATTTCACTTCAGGAATACGGAAATCAAATACAGGAAAACCATTTGGAAACGTATTGGCAACCAAACCCTGATTTATCGCCATCTCAAGAAATGGAAGATGGGCTCCTCCTAGAGCACCATCAATATGAAACCAAAATCCATTTCGAACATCAGATTTCAGTGGGTCTTCCGAACTATGTACAAGGCGTTCATACATGTTGTGTTGTTTCAATATATGCGCAAGCTCATTGATGGCAGCTCGTGGATTATCGTAGGCTCCTTTAAATGTGGTACCACTTGTAAAAACTACGAGCGGAGGGTAGCCTCTCATAACAAAGGCAGTGACCAGTTTCACAAGGCATGGGATGCTAATCGATCCATCCGCCTGCACAGGCACTGCACGTGGCCAGCCATTTTGATCAAGGGATTCTTCATTAAAACTGGGAGGGTAATCATCTGGATATTTCAACGGGCAAGAAAAATATCCACTGCCAACATTAGAAAACGTTTTCATCTGTAACATTCTCAATGTTTTTGCAAGGCCGTGAAAGCTTTCTTCTGAAAAGAATACAACTGGTGTAAAAGCGTTAGGATTGTCCTTTGGCTGCGCATTTGATAATTCTTCTTTGCGTTGTCTGTGGGACGAAACAGGTTGATTCACAGGAGGAATACACGTATTGAATAGGATGGGATTACTGAGTGGCATTCCAGCTAAATACTCCCTTGCATTATACAATGCGAGATGATTACCTTCGGTGCAACCCATGGACGTAACATAACCCCAGTATTCCCGTTCTTCCTCATTTGAAGGATCGGATTGCTGTATCCCCCAGAGCTTAGCAAAATAATCTAGCACGGTACGTTCAATGAAATTAGTGTTCAGCGCATATGGCTCTTGTGCTGAGAATGGATCTCCACCATTGTTGAGAGAGATATCAAAAAATTGTTTCACTCTTTCGCAGGTGAAACTTTGGTTACTCTGAAAACCAAGAGTCGCATTTTGATGAGATAATAAGTTGTTGTGGAGCCGGTTCAAAGTAGACTCTCTTTGTTCAGGTGTAAGACTATGATGGGATAATCTTGCATGCTCTTTGTGGTCAAATGGATGGTTACGATATTTTTCAGGAATGCTTTTTCCGTCTCCGATAACATCATTTGTGCTTTCTAGTGGAGTGTTCCTTGTCCTAAACGAAACCGAACAAATATGGTAAGAGAATCTAATGTCTCAAATCGGATTGGGAAATAGAAATGTACCATATAAGGGACCGGTCATTATTTATGGCAGGGGTGGGGGCTGAAGAGAAAGTATAATGCAGCCGAAAAAATCATTGCCCCACCTTTTTCGAAACAAAATTTCTAGCTACACCACCGGTGGAATGCCGGAAAATTTTTTTACCCCACCCAGAATTATTTTGTCGCAACGTCAAAGGTCCAGACATTAAATATGTAATGAAACATAGTAGTTTGTATGCGTATTACTCATCAAGGTCCAAAATTGCCCTTCATGAGTAAGATCATCTAGTGTTAGAGAGTAAATAATAATATTATAGGGTGCTTTGACCACATTGGCCATTATAATTAAAAGGAAATGGGACTGATTGGTAAACATACTTGTTTTACCAATATCCCTTGCCCCTTATTTCTTGTGGAGTACCAGTAATTAATTAAAGCACACTAACAGTCATTTGGGGCATGCTATATTTAGCATTGTGCCTTATTATGGGTTACCTCTACAATTGCAAGGTAATATAAAGAGTTATAGTTATCAGAAAGCTTCAAATTTGTCTGCTGAAAATAATAAGACTTGTCATTTGTGTAGTATGTTTCGTTTGAATGGAAATGCAAATTCATAAATATAAAATAATAATTTATGTTATAGTAGCCTTCGGGTAGGCCCACAGGGAAATGCTAAAATAATTAAATGATTCTAACATTTCTGGACTGGAGATTCAGATGGAAGTTCTGTTGCTCACTCATATTAAGACTGGCATTCACTCTGACTCAAGCAACTGCACTGTATTAAAATTGATTCAAATTTGCATGTTATTGGGGGGACATGGGGGTTTGGATCAATGACTGGTAAAATCTTTGCAGTTGGCCATTTAATATGTATATGTGCTTACTTGTGATTGTAACTAGTGTCTAAATTTTAAAATTTCCTCTGCAATTCCTTAAAAATTTCCTTACAATAGACAATCACATGTAATTATCACGGAATTTTAAAGGTATTCCTTAAGAATTCCCACGGAATTTTAAAGTTTATGAAATTAATGTTTAATTTGTAAACAAGACAACGCTACTACAGTAGATGTCCCATGTGAGAATATCTGAATTTAGAAAATGATGTTACTGTAAATTTATGAGAAAAAGTTGCTGTTACACAGTGTGAAGATAAAGATATATCATCCGAATTCCAAGTATGATTACATAAACAATGAAATTAATCTGCAAAACGGGTAATTAGATTTCTCTTATTTTATCCATGTATACATGGTCTGCTAGTAAAGAAAAGCAGCTAGTTGCCAGAGACTCAGAACAATGTTTGAGCTGAACATATTATGAACTAGCCATTGGAATGATTCTCCAGTTTCACGAGGGGCATGAGGCATATTTGAGGATTTGCTACCTGAATTGTCCACATGGTTTACAAGCATATACCGGATATTAGTTATATGCATGGTATCAAATGTAGATGCCCAAAAATTAAATACTGAAAATTTAATAGACTGTATACATATATTTTGAGATGTGTAATAAGAGGAAGTTTATAGGAAGGAGAGCCTGCATTCCAGGGCTTAGGGGCTACAGTAGGTCACTTTTCCTGCGGCGAATTTTGGCCCAGCTTTAGCAGTCTGGCGATACTAAAGGTGCGGGATCTCGCTTAGCTATATATAGGTGGGCCTGCTCTTTACCCATATATACACAAGGTAAACTTTAATAGGAAATAACAACAAAGGTAGTATTTCGCCACAACTGGGCCAGCTTGCATGGTTTCCGGCACCCAAGACTGGCTTCCACCATATAAACAGCAACTAATATATTAGTCAGTATATATTTTGAATGATAATAGGAGTCTTTGGAGATTTTGTGTGTAAATGAATAAAATGACCCCTTATGAGTGGGTTGAGGGGGATGTTTCTGTCAACATTTTGGAAAGCAATAATATTTTATTTTAAAAAATTAGCATAATCACATATTAAACTCTGTTTATTGTAGTACATATAGTATTGTGTTTGATTAATGTAAAATATGATTATTATTTTCTGTTACCCCACCTCTGCATGCAAGGATTTTTTCGCCACTCGACCTAAAGCAAGTATTATTTTTTAGTTACCTCACCACTTTCTCTTCGGCCCACACCACTGCCATAAATAATGACCGGTCCCTAAGGCTATGTTTACATTGTATCGGATCACTTTGCGTCCGACGCAAAAACCATACCGGATAGGGCTTCTGTTTACATATGAAATGTTGTTATCGTCTCAATTTCTGCAACGGACCGGTGGTGCGGCGTTCGCTCTTCGAAGTGGTGCGCGATGTATCGGATCGCTTTTTGCAACGCTCTCATTGTAATGTAAACACAAATCGGAGCAATTTTCGGTTCAATACGTGACTCAAGATGGCATCTGGGAAACAAAGAGTTGCTATTCTAATCTTATTTGCGGGTATAGCCTGCTCACTTATAATATTTTTGTATTTAGATGGGCGAGGGCGGAAGCTGTTTACACTTGGGCCGTAACGTTTCGTGAACGAAGCAAAAACCGATCCGATACAATGTAAACATAGCCTAAGCAACGCTTTATGGTTGGCTCTGGCAGTTAAATTATTGAATATAATATTCATACTTCTAATAAAACAGTGGCTGCTTTATTTAATATTTAAAAAATGATTACTAATTTGTGAGGAAAATACAAAATACTGCCAGTCGCTGGGTGTATATGTGACAAAAAACCATGTTCATTTACATGTACTTTAGCTTCATTTTCCCGGCTTAGACAACGTTTATTTTCAAAACTACTTCGCCAATGAACTCATCGGATGAGTCGTTATTTAAGTCGCTTAAAAAATTTGCAGTCCGTGCTTTTTCAGATGTTTAAACACTCGAGCTGCTCTCTCGGCTTTTATATCTGATAAAACACTTCTGCTCGTTTTTTTAATAATAGTTCATCTAAAAGCCCAAAATGTGGGTCTAGATAACAATGAGCTTCAGCAGTTATGATTAGCCAAAACGAGCGACGTCGCTCTGTCCGTTTTTTAAAGGACAAAATGTATCCTGGTGTTGCTAGAAACGTTGAGCGTAAGAGTGCTCAATCAGTTTCTGATGTAAATCTACGAAAGACTTACGTTTGCGCTAATGATCTCACAATAAGATTAATTCAGTTAGGTCTTCTAGAAAAAATGCGGCTAATTTAAAATATCACCAAGGCGTACGTAGGAGTGAAACACGCGAATGTTTAAGGCGTACACTTACTATATATACTTTATACAAGGAAGGCCGAGCAGCTCAGGAGCGCCGAGAGCTTTTCGGAGGCCCGTGGCAAATTTTTTTCTGGTGCCACTATTCCCAATTTTTCGCCAAAAAAATTTCCTAACTTTCCCCAACTTTTCTATACCAAATTTCGGTACTTTGCCAGAAAAAGACAAATATTTCGCCCGAAAAACACAAATATTGCACACGAAAAAATGTCTGGGGCCCCACAAAAAAATGACAAGCGGGGCAATTTGCCCCCCCCCCCCCCCCTCCTCTCGATGGGCCTGGTGCAGCTCACAGTAATTTTCACACGAGAATATTCAAATTAGGAATAACAGAAATGAGAATCTTCCAAAAATCTGAAAACAGCCGACTTGCAGACAAGTCTCAAATCTTACTGCACACCGTAAATTCATAGAAAGCATTTCTTTTCATGTTTAAGCCTGATTTCCACTAGGCGGAATTTTGCGCGCGGAGCGGAATTTTTCTTTGTCTTGTGATTTCTCAGGTGGAACTAATTAGAAAAGACAAAGAAAATTTCCGCTGCGCGCGCAAAATTCCGCCTAGTGGAAATCAGCCTTTAACCTGATTGATGATAGTAATGTAATACAAAAATAAGCAGGAAAGCCTTGAGATGAGAAAAGCTCCTCGTTACCCGAAATTTGAAACGACACCGTCGGTTCCGTCCGGCAATTTTGATTAGCAACTGGTTGAATCAACAGATCAACACATTATTTGGGCATTTGACAACAATGCAAACCCCACAGATTAAACTACTACTGTATATTGGTGGAAGACATTACTGCTATTACGGCGATGTAAATTCTTACAGTACGGGATATGTTTCTAACAAAAATTTCCATAAACCAAAAACTACAACCAACAATGGAAAACAGCCTGTATATTTAATAGCAGTTGATTTTTAGAAAGAATTTCCTTTCGACTTTAAAATACCGAATTTCTCAGTTATTATTATTATTATTATTATTATTATTATTATTATTATTATTATTACAACATCTTTATACACGGTAACTAATCAACCATATTACCTATCAGTATTTACAAAAATTATAAAGGTTGTTTTTCATTAGGCCGTGTTATTAAATACAGAACTCGAAATACTATTATATAAACTATTATAAAAATATTAAAAGATACTAAGAAATGTTTGGGTCGAAGTGATACGTTAAGTATATATATTACAAATGAATTAAGTAGATATAAAATTTTTACTATTATAGTTCCAGTCTTTAGCAGCAGCATATCCGAATGTCCTTTTCATTGAATTTGTTTTAGGCTTCGACAACATCAGCATCTTGTTATTACTTCTTAAATTATATTTGTCAGAATTTGAGATTTTAAACATAGTTGAAACGTTTTCAGGACATTGGTTTGAAAGGGCTTTGGCCACATATGCTAATTTTTGCTCCTTTCTTCTCTCTTCGAGTGTTCTCCAATTTAATTTCTTTAAAATATCCGTGGAGCGAATTTCATAGGTATCACCTGTGATTACTCTAGCTGCATGGTTTTGTAGTCTCTGTAGCTTTTCTTTTGAACCTTCGCCACAGTTTCCCCAAACCATGGAGCAGTAATCAAAACTCGGTTGCACTAAAGCCTGATAAATATATTTAAGAGTTTCAAGAGAGACAAATGGCTTTGCACGGCGCAGCATACCAATGCCCTTCGATACCTTTTTACTGATGTTGTCGATTTGCTCATTCCAACATAGATTGTCATCAATCAGCACACCTAAAGTCTTTTTGGAATAAACCTGTTTCAATAGTTTCCCCCCACATGATACGCTAGTATTTTTTTGAATTTTAGCTAGTCTTTGACGGGTTCCAATGATCATGTATTCTGTTTTTTCAATGTTTAAAGTTAGCTTGTTTGAAAGAAGCCACTGGTGAATATTTTTCATTTCAGAATTTAGTGCTTCCTCCAAATTATTAATGCTATCTGAACATACTGTAAGATTTGTATCATCTGCATGCATTGCCGGACAGGATTTATCCAAGCAATTTGGCAGGTCATTGACGTATAATAAAAACAAAAGGGGACCAAGGTTCGATCCCTGGGGAACCCCACAACGCATTTTCCTGGAGGACGATGTTGCACTGTTCACGCTGCAGTATTGCGTTCTGTTATGCAAATAAGATTTAAACCAATCTAAGGCCTTATTTTGGATTCCATAGATAGATAATTTACTTAGGAGAATTCCGTGATCAACCGTATCAAATGCTTTACATAAGTCCAGAAAAAGTACTCCGTTTATCATCCCAGCATCCATGTTAAGTAACCATAAATCCGTATTTGCTAAAAGGGCTGATGCGGTGGAATAATTTTTACGGAAACCAGACTGACACGAACTCAGAATATTATTTTCAGTTAAAAAGGAATTGAGCTGTGTACAGACAAGTTTCTCAAATAACTTAGCAATAATCGAAAGAATGGAAATCGGTCTATAATTGCCTCGATTTTTTTTGTCACCAGATTTATGAATTGGAGAAATTCTTGCAGTCTTAAGATCATCAGGGAAAATTCCATGTTTGAGTGAAGTATTAAAAATAAATACTAAAAAAGGCGCCACGGCATCACTCGCATCTTTCAAAAGTTTGGCTGGGATATTATCATGTCCAGTTGACTTAGACGTCTTTAATTTCTCCAATGCATTTAACACTTCATTGATATTAATGTTTTCGAAATTGAACTTATGTTGAGTTTTAAATTTCATATAACGTTTAAAATCAGTGTTAGTTTCCGTGATCTGGTTCGACAGATTTGGTCCCATATCAGTAAAATATTCATTGAACAAATCAGCTATAGTTTCATTTTCAGTAATAACCTGTTCGTCTATATGTAGTACTGATATATTTGTTGATCTAGAATTTTTATTAACTAACTGATTAATATGTTTCCACATTTGCTTTGTATTATTTCTGTTTCTGTCAACACAGTTTGTGTAATAATCTCGCTTTGCATACATAATTTTTTTGTTAATCTCATTGCGAAGACTTTTGTAAGCATTGTGGCATGCAGTTGAGTTTGTCTTAATAGCTTTCTTCTTGAGATAATCTCGGCGATTCATACTTTTCTTAATTGCATCAGTCAGCAACGGTGTCTTTCTGTTTCTAATTTTACGGCTTTGAAGTGGAGCATGAATGTCAGCAACATAATTGAATGTTGTTTGAAAGTTCTCCCAAAGCATATTTGGATCATTTATCTCCCAATTTAAATTAGATAAAGCATGGTATAAGTCTTGGTTAAACTCTCGCTGTATGTAGTTTTTAAAATTTCTTGACTCAACAAATTTGGGATCATTTTTTACAAACGAAATTTTTCTACAAACGTAGATCAAGCTATGGTCACTTATTCCAACATGCAATACTCCTGAGTGCGAAATCTTTTCAGGATTGTTTACAAGAGCGACATCCAAAAGAGAAGCTGTTTTTTCGGTAATTCGTGTAGGCTGGTCAATCAACTGTGTCAGCTGGAATATATTAACTATATCATTAAAACGTTTAGTGCATGTGATTGCTTAAATTGTTGGATAAAAAATCACAATTTAAATCGCCAACGATAATTAGTTCTTTATGTTCGTTGTCAAGGTTTTGAAATAATACTTCAATTTTATCAAGGAATTCAATTTGCGAATTCGGTGGCCTATATTATAGCACTGATGAAGATATTATTAGCACTGATGAAGATCCGGGCTTACGGATCGAAAGCTTTGCAGTAATAATAGCCTGCTAACAGGCTCTCTTTGAACTCTCTTTGAAATTTGAGAGAGAGCCTGCAGGCCTAGCTAATAAAAACGCGTCTGTGCGTTGCTTAGATTCAAAGAGCCTGTTCGCAGGCTACAGTAATAAATTTACGTAGTGTTTCCACAAACAAAACTATTATATTTTATCGCCATGCAAACATACAAAGAACTTATTTCGAACGATATAGTTTTACATTTCATTTTACCAAATTTCTCAGCCATTTCCTGAAAAAATTATTGCTAAATAGAAACTATTTTTTAATTCTAAGTCTGGTGAAAAAGTCATTCCGTTATTGTGTTTATATTCTAAGCAGAAATCGATAAAAACAACTTTGTAATAAAGCAATAAAGTCACACAAGAAGCCATTTTGAAAGCGTGTGCGTACAAGAAACACTGCAACACTGCTGCCTCGTACCCAGGCGCTTACATGAAGTATTCAGGTAGGCATCCGACGCGCGAACGGACTGTTGGGAAGGGTGCGTGCTGGGGAGCGCCTGGCAGTTCTTGTATACTGTCATGGCGGGAAAACAGGGAATTTTATACAAAAAGTTACCATATCGTCATATACTCTGTGTGTAAAACCTTACTTTGTGATGAAGAGTTGATTAATTGAACGCCATTGGCAAATAATAATACATTTGTAGATGTTCGATGACATGCAAAATGCGCGAAAAATTATGAGTAAATAACATGACAAGTTAACCGTGCGAATATTTCGAATATGTCATTCGATATTACATGGAGAATAATAAAATGCTATCAGTTGCTCAGTTAGCATAAAACAGTAACAGAGAAATGATTAGAAAGTCATATAATTGCTTTTGTATTAATAACTTCTTTAGCTGAAAGCTCAATCAGTCGATCACAATGCCAATGGCAATTTCTATTAAATGTATACTGTAAACAAAAGCCCAAGTAAATAAAAGTTCACAGCCGTAAAGATTGAAATATTTGTTACAATAGTGCAATTTTATAGTCTGTACCTTTATATAGTTATAGCTTACAAATCTAGTTCCTGCAAGTCTAGTTCTTCAACGCTTCGGTTGTTGACATGTTAATATTGGAATTTCCATGGACTTTAAGGGCATATATATGTCATATATACCAAGAATAACAGCATGAATTCACGCCCGGATGACAGAAGAATATTAACATTAGTCAATTCAACAAAAACAAGTAGCAAAAAATCGTAAACGACAACGAAATAGCACAACTTGCAAGAAATCGTACAAATTTGCAAGAAATCGACCAAGAACTGCCAGGCGTCTCGCAGTTCAAGTGCACTCTTCCCATCAGCCCCTTCGCCATCTCTCCCCACTACAATACTTCACGTAAACACGTCATATGGGCATCACTGTTTTTTTACAAAGAGACGCCTGGGTACGAGGCAGGCAACACTGTTAGTGACAGTAACTGTGAACAGGCCGAAAACAGTTTTATTTCTGAATTTTAATTGAACTGATATTTGGATATTTTATTTTATTCATTAAAAATTTATACTAAAAGAATTATTCGCCTCAGGCTCCGTGATTACGGTGAATATTATATATATATATATATATATATATATATATATATATATATATATATATATATATATATATATATATATATATATATATATATATATATATATATGATATTTGTGGTGTTACTCTGAGTGTAAATCCACACCGGGCGAGCTTGAAAAATATGCCCAGCCACGGTGGGATTCGAACCTACGACCTTTGGAATACTAGCCCAATGCTCTTCCAACTGAGCTACGCGGTCAGGACGGTTATATATATATATATATATATATATATATATATATATATATATATATATATATATATATATATATATATATATATATATATATATATATATATATATATATATATATATATATAATCATTCTCTTATAATTGATGTTTGTGTTTTTAAAAACACTTTCTATTTCATAATTTCCGGTCTGGAAATTATGAAATACCCACTCGAGGACATTTTCAACTTATATATACTGTATATATATATCTTTATTATGTAGTAGAGAGTGAGATACTGAAAAATACACAGTGACATATTTTCCATATCTTCACTAGTGAAGATATCGATCACGTGACTTTTAGTATTTATACAATTTTTTGCTTGGGACTATATAATAAACAGAACATTACACGGTGGCTTGAAGATATGACTTTTATCTTCTCGTGTTAAAAACAATATTTCACTCACTCGCCGCGCTCGTTCGTAAAATATTGTTTTCACCACTCGAAGATAAAAAGTCATATCTTCGCGCCGCCGTGTAATATCCTCTATATATGTACTATTTAAAACATGAGTAGGAGTGTTTTGTCAGATATAAAACGCGAGGCGTTTTATGTCTGATAAAACACGACAACGAGTGTTTTGAATAGCTTAAACCATTATTCCCGAACCAACGGCGCAGAGCGCTGTTCCGGGCGTAAGCCTGGGGCGAGGGTACTAATTCCGTGCGGCTATTTACACTCGGGGAAAGAAACGCACCAGCGAAGTCTAAAGTTCATCAAACATCGCGGGAACATGGTGTATGGGTGGTCATCTCACTGATCTCAAAATATGGCTATTTGCCAGGAGTGAAGAAGGGAAAAATATAAAAAGTACATGTAAGAAAGCTTCGAAAATCGTTTAACATAACAAATTGTAAAACATTGTTTCAATTTTTAAACGTAAACATTGATAAGAATTGATTTAGCATGAGAAATCCTAAAGTATAGGGCAAGTTTGTTTCAATTGTTTATGTATGACTTTGCATTTAATATTTATTTAAATCTTTCCTATGCATTGTATGCGAAAGTTTCTTAGTTATAAATTAACGTTTGTAGAAGTTCATGATAAAAAGGAAAGCAAATTATTTTCATTAGCGTCCGAAATTCATTTCATTTCAAAGTGCGAGTAATATAAGTTGAAGCTCAAGTTGAAGAGTTTAGTATCGGCAAAAAGCATGCAGTTGATTTCAATTCACATTTAAAAACGTTTTACGTAGAGTTTCGTTTTGAATTTACATTAAAATAAAGCCCATGGAAAACAAAATAATATACCTACTTTATATATTTTAGAAATTGATAGTTCTGTATTTAAAAGTGTTCAAGTTTCATCTATTGTTTGCAGGTTTTTACACTGAAAAATTTAAAAAAACAATTATCGTGTGCCCCGAGCAACGCAAGCCTGCGTTCAGTGTTGTCGTGATTACGAATACTTCATGTTGAAGCAATGTTTGGACTTGATGTAGGCGAGGGGTCGTTGCATGCATGCATGTATTTCTAGTATAATCATACTAATTAGGATGAACAATTATATAATACCACATGCTTTATCAGATATAAATCACTCTACGTGACATATTATGGCTGACATGACTTGCCACAAGGTTTATGAAATATGTAAATATTAAATATGTAAATATTAAATATGTATCATGTTTCGCTCGCTACTCTGGTTTAAATATATGATTACAAAGCCCAGTCGAATTGTAATCAAGACCCAACGTTTCGACACTCCACTAGTGTCTTCATCAGGGGTGATCTAAAATTGCAATCGTGGCTTCTTAAATACCCAAGGGATGACGTCACCTGCCAATGAGATGCATATATTCCTCTGGCAAATAGGCACCGTCATCCCTATTCAAAGCATGATTACTCATATGGAGATAGCGTAGCCAGGTTTAGACATAATTAAAAACATAAACGTTCTCTGACTAAAATTTTTATTTAAAAACGAGCTTTCGACTACCTGACTGTAGTCTTCGACGGGTAAAGCGGAATGAATTATTATTAAATTACAAGCGTGCATGTGTTAGGTGATATATATATATATATATAACAGGAAGTGCAAGATATGTGTGTTAATTGAAGCGTCTAGCGATGACATTTTTTATTAACTAGCATAGCATATTGTTTCGGAAGCGGCTTAGAATTATTGTCAGAATTTGTTATTATAGCAGTATGCCAAGATTCTAATGTCTTACGTGTCCGATAATTGCCACGATCTATTACTTTCCCATTATCAAAGTCAATTATATGGTCCATATCCCATGCATGTTTAGCTATGTTCGAGCCTTTTTTAGAGTTTTTTACATTTCGAATATGTTCCTTCTTTCGGGTTCCAAATGATCTTCCAGTTTCGCCAACATATGACCACGAGCAGTCAGAGCAAGGTATATTATATACGACGTTGATACGTTGTTCAGGTGGAACTTGATGTTTAGGGGTAGGAAAGATTCTTTGTAAAGTTTTTAAAGGTCTAGTCGTTACCCTAATGTTCTGTTTTTGTAATATACGTCGGAGTGCATCAGTTATTCCACTAATGTATGGTAGGATCACATGTCCATTAGTCCATATGGTTTGTCATCTTGAGTGACGCGTTTGAAAAAATTGGCCCACAAGTTCCTCAGGTGATGGTTCACGTTTGTTAGCAGTCAAATCTTTTAGCGTTTGTTTAATAATTTTATCGGGATATCCATTACATTTTAGAGTTGTTGTTATGTGATTGAGTTCGTCTTGTTTGCTTGTGTGTTTGGTTGGTAAAGTTTGTGACCTATGTAGAAGGGTTCTAGCTGTGCTAATTTTGTGTTTAATGTCGTGGTGAGAGTTGAAGTCAAGAAATCTATCTGTGTGCGTTGGTTTCCTGTATACGTCAACTTCCAGGTTGTTACCATGTCGCATTATAAGTGCATCTAGAAATGAGATTTGATTGTCCTGTTCAAGTTCAATAGTGAAAGAGATGTTAGGGTCAATGTTGTTCAAAGTATTGTGAAATGTCGAAATAGCAGTCTTTTTAATGATCGAGAAACTGTCGTCAACAAAACGTTTCCATGTTTTAGGTTTTGTAAGAGTTGTGTGGATGGCTGTATTTTCAATCACTTCCATGCAGAGGTTGGCCACAACTGGGCTGACTGGGCTACCCATGGCACAGCCATGAATTTGTTTGTAAGTTACGTTGTTATAGATGAAATAGTTGTTAGAAAGCGTAAAGTCTAAAAGTGAAATAATGTCGTCAATTGTAAGATTAGTGCGTGATGTCAAAGTAACGTCCTGTTCGAGTTTAGTCCGTATGTATTGACAGGTTTTCGGGACGGGAATAGCTGTAAATAGTGAAACAACGTCAAAGGATACCATGACCTCATCATCATCAATCTTTATGTTTTTAATTTCTTTTTAGCAGAGTTTTTAACAGAGTTGTTCTGGATAGGAGAGTGTATAGTTGTGAGGTATTTTGAGGTGACTTTAGACTTATTGCAAATATAATTAATATGTTCCTTCCATGACAAATGTTCGTCTATATATACTCCTAAAAAATTTATGTATTGTAAAAATGGGTGATCATTTGATTGTTATATTGGATAACTAGATTTAAATTAATTTTCTTTTGTCTCGGCCGAAAAATGATATAGTTTGTTTTACTGATGTTCACAGACAATTTATTTGACTTCATTCAGATATCCAGCTTTCGAAGTTCACTGTTCAAAACAAATTCAAGTTGCTTGATATCCGAATTTGAATAATATATACTAGTGTCATCAGCAAAAAGATAAGATTTTGGTAGTTCTAATGCATTCGGTAGATCTTTGATATATAAAATAAAAAATAATGGGCCTAAAATAGAACCTTGCGGAACTCCACATTTTAATTTTTCCATGGAGGAACAGGTTTCATTATATTGAACAAATTGTTCACGATTGCAGAAATAGCTCTTGATCCATTGGAGTGCAACGCCTCTTATACCATAATGTTGTAATTTAGTAAATAATATTTCATGATCTAAAGTATCAAAAGCCTTTGAAAGATCAATGAACACTCCAGCAGCTATCTGGTTCTGATCAATGGCCGTGGCAACGTTATTTATTAGAGAAACAAGTGAATGCATAGTGGTTACTGCGAAAACCAAACTGAAATCTATACAAAATTTCACATTGCTCAATGAATGATGTTAACCTGATTTGCATAACTTTTTCAAATAACTTTGAAAAGTTTGTCAGGAATGATATAGGTCTATAGTTTGTAAAGAAACTTTGATTTCCAGTTTTAAAAATTGGTATAATTTTAGCGATCTTTAGTTTACTTGGAAAGACCCCTTTGGATAAAGAGAGATTTATAATATTAACAAGAGGTTGTACTATTAGGTCAATAGATTTTTTGATTACATACATGGATAGATTATCATAACCAGGAGCTTTAGCTGTTTTAAAAGAGTTACAGATTTCTAAAAGCTCAATTACATTTGTTGGATGAAGTGAAATAGATTCTTTGCTATTTGAATTTAGGAAAGAAAGAAAAGAGTTTGAAGTCTCAGGAATCTTACTTGCAAGATCAGGGCCAATGTTAGCGAAATATTTGCAAAACCTGTTAGCAATGTCTTTAGGATCAGAGAGAAGGGTGTTATTTGATATAAACGAGGAAGGCAGTGAGGTTTTTGTTCTACGTTTATTAATTACTTCGTTTATTAGCTTCCAAGTTGTTTTGTGATCGTTTTTTGCAGTTTCAAATTTATTCTCATAATATGTTTTCTTAGCAATCTTAATCAAATGAGTAAGCTTGTTTTTGTATTTCTTGTATTGTCTTTCTTTGACATGCAGGACTTCGTGAAATAATGAACTTTTTATAGAGTTTATTCTTTTTCCTAACACAGGTTAATAGCCCTCTTGTCATCCAAGGTGTTAATGGTTTGTTCGAGTTTTTTGCTCTGACTGATTTAGAAGGAAAGCTAAGATCATATAATCTAGAAAATTCATACTGAAAAGCATCGAACGCACTGCCTGCATCTTGATTAGGGAGATTTTCCCAATTGACATTAGTAAGATGTGAACGAAATTTGGTAATATTGCTATCGCAAAAGTCCCTAAATATGGTCTTTTCAGCACTTTTGCGAGGGGGAGGAGTTTCTGTAAAGACATAAACAAAGACCGGTAAATGATCTGACAGGTCATTAATAATAATTCCACTGAATAAATTTTGTGTCAAATGGTTGGTAAAAATATTGTCAATAAGCGTTGCCGAATGTGCTGTGATGCGCGTCGGCATAATTAAGGCGGTTTTCCACTAGGCGAAATTTTTCGACCGAATCGAAATTTCTCTTTGTTTCATGAGCTCTCAAGCAGAACTAAAGGCGGTTTTCCACTAGGCGAAATTTTTCGACCGAATCGAAATTTCTCTTTGTTTCATGAGCTCTCGAGCAGAACTAATTGTAAAAAGACAAAGAGAAATTTCGTTTCGGTCGAAAAATTCCGCCTCGTGGAATCCGGCCTTAAAGGCCTGATTCCACGAGGCGGAATTTTTCGACCGAAACGAAATTTCTCTTTGTCTTTTTACAATTAGTTCTGCTTGAGAGCTCATGAAACAAAGAGAAATTTCGATTCGGTCGAAAAATTTCGCCTAGTGGAAAACCGCCTTAATTGTAAAAAGACAAAGAAAAATTTCGTTTCGGTCGAAAAATTCCGCTTCGTGGAATCAGGCCTTTACTAAAGGAAAGTACATATGTGAAAACAGATTTTCGACGAATTCATTAGTTGCGGAATGCGCGTTTAAGCAGTACATATCTATGTTATAATCTCCCATTATGTAACAGTGCTTGTTGTTTTTTGAAATGGTAGAAAGAATTTCATTAAACTTATCCAAAAATAAAGATAAATTTTGGTTTGGTGATCGATAAACTACACCAACTACAATGTTCTTGCTATTTGGTACGAATATTTCAACAAACAACGACTCAATCATATTTGGATCTGAAAAGTTACACTACGAGCATATTCGGTATTCAAGATCATTCCGCAAGTACAAACCCACCCCACCGCCGGACCTCGCAGTTCTATGACAGGACAAAAAGTTATATCCAGGGAGATAACTCTGTCTGATGTAGTATCATTCAACCAGGTTTCAGAGATACCTATTGCAGTGAAAGATTGGCGACTATTTGCTGCAAGAGATTTTAGATCATCAAAGCTACTGAGCAAACTACGAGCATTTACATGCAGGAGCGAAAAGCTAGCATTTTCTTGTTTTGATTCAAGGTTGCGTTGACCTCGTCCTGAACCATATAACTGCTGGTAGGAGAAAGCGCGGAAAAATTAACTGAATTCGGATCTAGATTCTGCGTTAGGTGATCTAAATGAGATTCGTCAATTGGATTGAATAATAAGGTATCGAGGCGGTCCGCATCAAAGTGCAGTGGACCATGAGCCATTTCGTACAATGCAATATTAAAAGAACAATCATCTAGGTGATTAAAAGGGAGAACTGTCAGGGAATTTTGATTTATGTTACAGGGCATGTTAAAATTTTTTAACACCATTAAATGAACTTATCTTGTTTATGACAGATTTAATCCTTCTAGATCACTTAAATTGTTGATGAAAATATGACGACTCTCTTCATTCTTTCTTAGGTATATTTTAGCGTTTTTACCCAACAAAACTTGAAGTTATGCTGTTTTGAGAACCGTTTAGCTTCGGCGAGAAGATTTTGTGCTTTCGGCGTAAGATGTTCCATGACCAAAACATTACAAAGGGAAGCGTCTGACGAGAGGCCCAAGGCTTCAGATTTTACTTTACTCGCTTCTTTTCGTTGTCGAATAACTTCATCTTTGACCACTCTTCGAACGAATTTACAGACGATAGGTTTCGGGCCTGTAGCGAATGCATTTCTGTGCGGGACTCGATGTGCTATATCGATATCGTGGGCTTTTACTTCTACACCCATTCCGTTAAATAGTCGAACGCATAACTCAGTCGACGTGGCAGCTGTTTCTCTTTCATTACATTCGGGAACACCGAGAAGTTTGACGTTGTACTGATAACTGTACTTTTGAATATCATCAATGGCATCTGAAAGTTTATCTGATTTTTTTGCCACTCCTTCGAGACGTTTATTTAGTTGTTTGAATTCTTTCTCGGCAAACTCACGGAAGCGACTCATATCGTCGACTTGGTTTCCGAGGAAGTTAAGGCTTTTTTCTGCCTCGCTATCCGATAGATTGACGGGCTTATCGTTGCAAACACGCGGCAATTTGGCGAGTTTCTTGTCCATAGCTTCTTGAAAAGATTTGAAATCTTTCTGTAGGATTACGATTTGACTTTTAATTAAGTGAATCGTTTTCTATCTTAAGAGATTTGATAGTCTCAGGCATTTCAGAATTCGTTATTGACGGAGCAAAAAATACACGTCCGTCCTGGCTGAGCACTTGCTCATTCAAATTATCTCACGTTCTACCGTGAATTGGATGGACGGCTCAATATAATTTAAATGTTGCAGCAGAATATCGATTTCATTTCTAGAAACCGCAGAGATGACATCATCGACGAAACGTTTCCAAAACGATAGAGATACCGGAACAGAGGCTAAAGCTCTTTGTTTGACATCTTCCATTACTAAATTAGCAATTGGTGCCGATACTGCTGACCCCATCGCTGTTCCAAAAACCTGTTGATAATAACAGCCCTCAAACACATAGTATGTGGTGTTGAGACAAAAAGACAGAAGATCAATAATATCTTCTACAGGCAAGGATGTTCTTTGTAACAAAGTGGCATCCTGTCTTAGTCTTTTTGTTGCAACCTTGATGGCAAGATCAACTGGGATGTTTGTAAACAAGGAAACGACATCAAATGATACCAACACATGATCTGCTTTAAGAGTTTTACCTCTTACAAATTCTGCAAAATGACAGGATTTTTTTACAGTGTTTTCGGTATTCCCCACCACAGGGGACAAAATTTTCGCCAGAGAACTTGAAACTCCATATGTAGGAGAATTCACAAAGGACACAATAGGTCTCAATGGAATTTCCGGTTTATGGATTTTCGGTAAACCATAGAAACGCGGAGATAGTCCATCACTGCTGTATAACTTTTCATATGTAGCCTTACTGATAATATTGGATTTCTTCAAAAGAAGTAACTTGGCGTTTAAACCTCTTTGAGTCTTTCCAGTAGAATCAGACTTGAGAATAGAATACGTATTTCTGTTTATTCAACAGTATTCTTAGATATGAATAATTATATTTTATTAAAAAATTTAAAAAGACTTATACAGCCAGTCACAAAATATTCTAAAATTCCGTCCCAAACGTTTCGCCGGCGAGGGCTTATTTAGTGCATGCAGGGAACGTCAATATACTGTAAATATATTAGAGTTAGGGACCCTCAGCTGTATGCGTCTCTTCCTGCAGTAATTGGGTTTTCCTGTATTAATTTGTTGTATGTTTCCGTCGAATTGCGAAAGAGACATGTTGATATTAAAATTAAATAAACCACTCTTTATATTTCAGATAAGTGATGCTGTTTGAAAGCCTTACGTCGCTCATTCTTATTTATGTTATATGGTATGTGGTCAAAACATATCTAGAGAACCGAAATCTGCCACCTGGTCCTTTCCCTCTTCCCATAATTGGAAATATTCATCAAATAGGACTCAATCCACCGATTACCATGACTGCACTCAGCGAGAAATACCCACATGTGTTGAAGCTTAAATTTCCAATAGGAAATGTTGTCATTTTGAATAGCCCAGAAGCAGCAGAAGAGGCACTGGTGACAAAAAAGGGTGACTTTGCTGGCAGACCGATACAGGACTTCTATCCTTCCGATCTTGTTTTAGAAGGCAGAGATATTGTCAGTGCTGATTATGGTCCACTTCTAACGTTCCGTCTTAAAATTTTCAAATCGGCTTTGCACGCTTTCGGAGAAGGAGCAAAGGAGGTTGAACACCGATTGCATGAAACAATAGATGTTCTCCTGAAACAATTCGAGGAAACGGAAGGACGTCCCTTTCGCTCTAGAACATACATAGCTGCTGCAATAACGATTCAGTTGTGGGAATGGCTGTCCTCCGCTACGTTATCTTATTCCGATCCAAAATTGCATAAGATAATGGATTTCAACGATACGTTCGTTAATCTTGCCAGCCAAGGTAGTTTTATTCAACTATTTCCGTTGTTGAGGTACCTACCAACCGAGTTCTCTAGAAGGCTGAAGGAACTACTCAAAACAAGAGACGAGCTGTTCGGGGAGTTGTTGGAACACCACAAGAAAACCTTCCAAAATGGCGTAGTTCGTGACATTACTGATGGCTTGTTGGAGGCATATGATAATGAAAAGGAAAAGCATGAAAGCAAAGATATTGGATGTAATGATGATATAAAGTATATGATGATGGACGTGATTACTGCGGGCTCGGACAGCAGTATTTCACTCACCGACTGGTTCATCCTTAATATGGTTTTAAAGGAAGATATCCAAGAGAAAGTCCAACAAGAACTGGATAAATGTATAGACGGAAATGGCTTACCACACTTCGATGATGCTAAGAATTTTCCCTATTTACACGCCGTCATATGCGAGGTGATGCGTACTACAGCGTCAACGCCTTTCTTGCTTCCTCACCGCACAACGCGTGACACAAGTGTCATGGGTTACCCGGTACCAAAGAAAACTACAGTGTTTGTGAATCAATACCGCATTCACTACGATTCTAAGGCGTGGGATGAACCACAAGCGTTCAAACCGGAGCGATTCCTGGACGGTGATGGAAATTTCGTGGGATGGAATATGTTTACAGCCTTTATGCCGTTCGGACTCGGTCGTAGAGCGTGTCCCGGCCAGAATTTGGCAAAATTGCAAGTGTTTGCTGTTTTGTCCGGTTTATTTTACCATTTCAAATTTAAGTTAGCCGACAACCAGCCTATGCCGAATTTAGATGATAATATTCCCGGAGCAATACGAAACCCGTTGGATTATAAAATTGTTGCTATTAAACGACATTGATACCGTGCAAGAACATTTCTTACATAACTGTACACTATGTTCGGACTGGATAACTTGCTTCCCATAGAATTAGACACTAGTAAAAGTACTAGCTATACCATAGACATAGATGAGTTGCTTTATTAATTTTACTTCAACGTTATAATACACGTTTATATTAACTGGAAATTACACCTAGTCTATTGTAATGAAATGATATTATGTCACACCGCGATTATTTAGGTTTAATATTTTCAATCAGGGCCTATCAGAGAAATTTGGGGGCCTGGGGCAAAATGTTTTTTCCGTCCCCCCTCTGATAGACCCTGTTTTCAATAGTTCAACCTTACCGGTTATTCTCTTTTACGCAATGGCCTCGTTTTCATGTGAAATACTTACTCATGTTTTGTGCTTAGTAGGGTTGAAAATACTTTGTTATTGAGCAAGAAACAACCGTTAAAACAGCAAGTCGTATAATCTTTATCTACCCCTGACATGCTAAAATAAGTTAACATGGAAATGAGGCCATTTGGTAAAAGAGAATAATCGGTAAGGTCTGTTGGTGCAATAATTTAGATTATTGCACAATCGGTCACCTCATCGTATACGTCATGCATCTCACGCAGTCGTCTTGCCACGTCATGAAGAGTATCTGAGGCGTCTGATCACCGGTGCTTGCTTCCCGGCGCCAAATGCTACAATTACTTGTGTATTGATTTTTCAAGTTCAAGGTAATTTTCCTAATGCGATATTATACTTGCTTTTTTACCTACTCCCAACTACAGTCGCCAGAATTTCAAGTAAGGTTTCTCAATAAGTAGGTTATCACATTGTACTTAGCCTTAGGCATCCCAAATCTCAGAGTTGTATGATAAAATAATTTATTTAATATTTATTTAATATATTCGCCCAAATCAGTTTATAAAATTAACAATTTAAATAGAAAATATTTACAATAGTAGGGCTAGGAACCTTCTAGAAACCATAAGGCTTTTGTTAAAGGTCCCTAGTTACAATTCAAATAATATAATATTAAAAGTTAATACCAGTCCAATTGTTTTCAAAGGAATTACGGTGATATATTTACAATAAGGAAAGTGCGTAAAAGATATATCAGACTATAACAATTATTTGGTTTTTCACTTTGTGCCAAGAATTCTACTTATTCAAATTTGACAGAAGAAAATATATTTTCATTGTAGATTTAAATATTGGAAGAGATCTAATTTGCTTATATTGCGTCGGAAGATTATTCCACACATCGATGCCGTTATTACCGAGCGTGTGTTTGTTATAATTTGTTCTAGTACAACTTTTGTGGAGCAATGATGCGTTTCTTGTGTTGTAATTATGGATTTCTTTGTTAGTTAAAAAATATTTATCAAAAATTTCTGGAAGATTTTGTAGATGAAAATATCGGAACATAAATAGACTTGTTAGGAAGTCATTCAATTTATACAAGTTTAGTATTTTAAGGTCATTAAAAATTGGTTCAGTATGGTCAAAATAGGATTTGAAGGTCATTAATCTTACTATCTTTTTCTGGATATTTACTAATTTTTGAATGTGGGATTTGTAAGCGTTACCCCAAACTAAATTACAGTATATAAGATATGGATAGACCAATGCGTAATAGATCAGTTTTAAGGAATTTAGGTTTGTAAAATGTCGTATTCTGGATATAATAGCTGTACATTTGATAATTTTTTTTGAAATAAGATCTATATGATCGCACCATGATAAAAATTCATCTATAACAATCCCTAAAAACGTAGTTTTTTTTACTTGTTTTATAGTTTCGCTATTTATAGAAATTCTTAAATCACATTTAGGTTTCTTATTTTTTGATCTGAAAAGGATCAGCTTGGTTTTCGCAGTGTTTATAGATAATTTATTAACATTCGACCAATCTGTAATTTTGTTCATTTCAACTTGAATAGTTTCGTTTAAAGTTTTGAGACAAACATCGCTATACAGTATGTTAGTGTCATCGGCAAATAATATAATTGAAACCAATTTACTGCATGCAATATTGAATATCATTTATGTATAAGAGAAATAATACAGGACCTAAAACTGATCCTTGTGGCACACCGCTTGTGATAGTCATTTCTTCAGATTGTACTCCGTTATATTTTACATATTGCTTTCTATTATATAGATCATTTTCAAACCATTTTTTTGCTGTTCCTCGTATACCATAATGTTCCAATTTTCTTATCAGAATCTTGTGATTAATTGTGTCAAACGCTTTGGACAAATCAAGGAAAATACCAACAGTGAACTTCCCTTCTTCTATTGCTTTAGTTATTTTATCAACAAAATCAAGTACAGCAAGTTCTGTTGACCTGTTGCGTCTGAAACCATACTGATGTTTTGATAATATCTTGTTCTTATCAATAAAATTTATTAGTCTCTTTACCATAAGCTTTTCCAGTAGTTTAGAAAAACAAGTAAGGACTGATATAGGTCGGTAATTTTCAAATCTATTTTCTTCATTGCCTTTAAAAATTGGCGTAACTAATGCGATTTTTAAATTATCTGGAATAATTCCTGATGAAAACGATAAGTTAAAAATATGTGTTAATGGCTTAGAAATTTCCTTAGCAGTTATTTTTGTGATGTTAGCATTAATACCATCATATCCAGAACTTTTGTTCATTGAAGAATTGGTAGTTTATCGGCCGGTAAAATTATTCTACTGAAAATTTTTATTTCCAACTTAGCATTTAAAGTAGTGGAAGATGAGGGTCTTCTTTTGCTAAAGAGCTCGAGCATGGAGTATTTTTTCGCCCAGCTGTTTGGTCTGTTTGAGAACTAATGTGAATTTCCATTTCGGTTGATTTTAATACCTAGGTAGCAATATTCATTTGTACGATTTTTGTTGCCTGATGTAAAAATTAGTTTCATTGCTTCTGTGTTTTGTTTCTGAAATATTACAATTTCAGTTTATGTTCACCTCTATTAGCCACAATTTTACTGCACATTTTGAATTAAAATAAATATCTTTTATTAAAAACTGTATAACAGCGTAATGAGTAACATTTAGAATAGACCTTAATTTAGTGGCTTCATGCCGAATGCTTTCATAAAATCAAACTCGTTCCCAGGCTCTTCCACATAAATCTACAAAGCGTGCCAGGGCATTTTTTAACTATATAACTGGGGGGGCAAAGCCTCCCAGCCCCCATGGTGGCCCCCCACTCAACTATTTTGCCCCCCCCCCAAGTCAAAGTCCCTTTTCTCTAAAATATAAGCACAAACATGGAATTTAGAAACTGAAATTTGCTTTGTGAATCTTATGTCCTGTTTTTTATCTTTAATGCTAAATACCATTTTAAACATTTTCCAGTGGATTGCATTTCCCAGACCCTATAGATTTGAGTTGTTGGAAGGCTCGGCTAATGAAGTTAGTGACCGCAAGGGGCAACGGGCCCCCAACCCAGTGTTTTATAAGGGGGGGATAATTTTGCCTCCCCCACCCACAAAAAAAACCCAATTGATTTCGAAACTAGAAGTATTTGAAATTATATATATATATATATATATATATATATATATATATATATATATATATATATATATATATATATATATATATATATATATATATATAATCAAATATCTGTAATCGATATTTTGATAACAACATTTCTCGCAATAATCCATCCTGACTCGCGGATACAGCGTAGACTCACAAATCATAATGAACGCATTAATAATGAAAGGGCCTAAAGGCCCTGTTACACGGTGCAATTTTTCATGCAACTTGTCTCGCAATGGCGTTGCGAGACAAGTTGCACGAGTCATTGCACCGTTTAACATGCCTTGCAATGGTCAAAATCGTTGCGAGACAAGTTGCATGAAGCATTGCAGAGAGTAGAAGTCGGTTCTACTTTTGGCAACGATTGCACTAATTATTTTTAGCATTGCAGCGTGTAACATGGCTTCGTGCAACTTGTCTCGCAATGTTTAATGCTTGGAGAGTTCCTATTGGCTCTCCCCAATACACGCTTTACTTTAATTCAAATTTGGCGCCAAATAGGGCCTCTCCCTAGTCTCTTCGCATGCCTCTGTCGGCTATCGTCACAGAATAAGGCACACAGAAGGGCCACTTACCCTGGCCGCCATCTTCCTAGCCAGTCGATTACATTTTCTGGCCAATAAACGCGCTGTATTGGCTGGCCGCCATCTTCCTGGCCAGTCAATTACATATTTTTGCATAGAAAAATGGTGACACGTTGCACCGCTGAGTGGCCCTTCTGGTACTGATCTTTATTCTGTGCTGTCGTTGCGAGTTGCATGAAAATCAATGCAGCGTGTAACACCTCTTGCAATGCATTATCAAAATATTTTTTTAAACATTGCGAGACAAGTTGCATGAAAAATTGCACCGTGTAACAGGGCCTTAACAAAAGAGGTAGAGAAGATTTTGAAAATGCCATTTCAGGCAATTTAGAGACGCAAAACTTTCAATTTTTTTCTGCTCTGTGCCAACCATGGTGGCACTTCGTGGGAGTCGGGCCCACTAAGTTTATCAAGCTGGTTCCCCGAGTGAAGGCCAAGTTGTGGTATCTACATTAGTAAATACACTATGCAAGTACTTAACTGAGGTTCAGTCTATCAACAGCATAATGTAATGCTGTATATCCAAAAATCTGTTTCAGAAAATGTAGGGAATTGCAGTCATAGGGATAGAAAATTAATACAAAACTTTTCTGGGGGAGAATACCCACAGACCCCCCACCCCCCACTATTAAATGTGATATCACACCAAACATTTTATTACCAACAAACCATCTATCATTTCTCCACACTCGGCATAGTATGGTCCCTCCAATGTTTTCAAAGTAAAAGTACGACCTATAGTGCTGTTCTGTTCCCAAATATTGAAAATATAATTATTTTCTTGGCTGAAATTCATTTAAAATTATATAAATTATAGAAGAACTTACTTGACCTTGTACTAATACAAATTATTATTATTATTATTATTATTATTATTATTTAATTCTCTTATACAGTCGTTATGTGCTTTCCAAAATCTCTTGGCACTTCACTGTTTCTGACATAGGCAAAACCTGGGTTAACGATAAACTAGATAGTATCGCGTCCACGTATATCCGGAAATGGCTTGAACTTCCTATTTCTGCAACCCTTAGTAACCTCCTACTTCCCCACAATAAATTTGGATTAAATATCATTCTACCTTCAACCAAATTCCTTCAATGCCAAACTGTTTCTCGGAAAGCCCTAAAGTCGTCGCCAAATGAAGCGATCAATAACCTTTGGAAGGATACTAGCAATCACAAAAATGTACAATATGACAAATACAAAAACACCAAGGACGTATTAAACACCATCAGGAAACAACATGAAGACAAGCTTCAACACCACCTCATTTCACAAGGCTCATTTTTCTCCAATATCATTAAACATTCTACACTCTCATTCAACTCTATATGGTCCTCCGTTCAGAGTAAACTTCCGAAGAATATATTTAACTTCACTATCCGGTATATAAATAACACTCTTCCGACTCGCAAAAACCTTCTGAAATGGGGAATATCACCAACATCCGAATGTTCGTTTTGTTTGAATCCAGAATCACTTCTTCATGTCGTCGCTGGATAGCCTGGATGCAAGACCTACCTAAATGAAGGACGTTTCACGTGGCGTCATGATTCGGTGCTTAACTTCATAGCATCCATACTTAAATCTGTGAACCATTGTAACCTTTATGCTGACCTTCCTGCTATATCAGTCCATCTGTTCTCACCGGAGATGAATTGCGCCCTGATCTTTTGATAACACTTGAAAACAAATGTATTTATATACTTGAACTTACCGTCGGATTTGAATCTAATCTCCTCACTAATGCAACTCGAAAAAGACAAAAATATCAAGATCTAATTAACGAACAGCTCAAAAATTATGAAAAAGTGAAATTTGTAAATTTATCGATTAGCTCATTAGGAGTTTTCAGCCACCCGTCGCTAGATTTCACCGAAATGCTGAAGGATCTAAAGTTTGATGAACAATGTAGAAAGTACTATGTTCGGAAAATTATTAACATATGTATCAGGTGCTCGTATTATATATTCTGTAAGCGTAACAAAGAATGGGATAACCCACAACTAATGTCATACTAATATTGTTATTATGTAGAGTGTTAATTCAAGTAGACACTGGTAAACTACCTGTAAAGAGAGGTTTATCATTGTAGTGTGTATATATATATTATTGAAAGTAATAAAGTTTCCATTATTATTATTAAATCAATTGATAAATTACATATATAGTGTTACAAAAACAAATTTCTTAAAATATATTACAAGTTTATAACATTAAAAATTTAGGTTATATTAAAGATTGCAAAGCTAAATTATATCTAAAAGTACAAATCTATTGATGAAACTATTTTTAAAACGCTCGGTAGAAATGTTCGGCCACTGATGTGCCTCGATCTTGTGTTCTAAGTTTAACTGTATATTCTTTAATTTTTGGACAGATTTTATGATGATTATCTTGTTTACACAGCTTTTCAAACAGCTTTCTATCTGTCCGCTCTAATAATATATTAATATCTATTTGTTCTGATGTGTATCTTCTTTTATAACAACGAGTTAAGAAGTTTTGAATAGTTGTTAATTCCGGTGGTGATGCAGCAATGACTGATAAGCCATATGTAAGTTGTGACAAGACCAATGACCTAGTAAAAAGAAGATCTAACTCGTCTTGACTTTATCCTTCATTCCTCAGCTTTCGAATTACAAACAAGCATTTATTTGCTTTCACCAACTTTTATAACACATTTCTCAAATCTGCTTGTCATTTGTATAGGTTAGTCCCAGTATTTCAAGACTAAAGTGCCGTTCAAAACCATCCTCTGATCGCAACACAATCCTCTGATCGTCCTTTCTTTAATATAATCATTTCCTTACATTTACCCTCATTTAAAGGTAAAGAGTTTGATTCGGACCAGTCCTTGAATTCATCTATAGCTTTAGAACTGACTACAATCTTGCGTATTCTTCAAAATCGGCACCAAAAGTGAGGAATCATCCCCGAATTTAACAAGGGTGGTGTTGGAACAGTTTTTAATCTCCAAATCATTAATGAATAAATTAAAGAAATGTGGTCCAGTTAGAGTTCCTTGCATAACTCCCTTGTTAATATCTTTCCACTTGCATGTTGTTCCTTGGAAAACTATTCTCTGTCTTCGATCTTTTAAGAAATTTAAGTACCAATTTACTAAGTAAGGGTTCATAGAACTCGATTTCAATTTTTCACTCAGTTTTGCGTCACAATTTGGTTCTTCTAGTGCTTTCAGGTACATATACTGTAATTTAATTAAGGCGTCGATCTGTGCTACACCCACCGATACGATAAGCAAACTGGGAAGATGATAACTCAGCCTCGAAAGATCTTTTACTATATGGTAATGATAAACCGTTCTTTCGAAGCAGGAACGTCGCGAAGCCATCAACATTGGTCGTCATGTTTTGACCAACATTTCCTAAGTCGGGGAGGGAGGTCAAACTAACATAAGCGTAGTCAACAAAACTTTTCCGGACGAATATAAGCACATTCAAAATTTTTCGACCAGGATGAGCAGGCTTCCAATTTTTTCATCGGAAATACAACAAAAGCTTTAAAATTGTTAAAATTGCGCAACTTCGACCATCGAGTTTTACCTTTAATTTTAAGCAAATATCAGTTCCATTTTGACCAACTTTGGGCAAATATCAGTTCCATTTTGACCAACTTTGACCAACGTTTGAATTATTGGTAGGGTGTTACACCCCCCCCCCCCCCCCCCCCCTACCCCCACACACACACCCCTATAGCGACGTCCCTGTTTCGAAGCATCTTCCAATCACAGGTGTGACGTTTGTACCTCTAAACTTCACAATATTCTTTTGGATTCTCGAGTTTTGGTAAAGGATCTATATGAGCAATTTTCCAAGAGGTAGGCCATGTGGATGTAGAGAGAGATTCATTCCAAATCTTGGTCATAACAGGTGCAAATACATCAGCGTTTTCTTTCCATACCCAAAATGGGATTTCATCAGGGCCTGTTGCAGTTTTACTTATTTTCAAGAAAGTGTTCTTGACCTGGGTTATGCTAAACTGAGGTGCTTTTATTGTGATTAAATCTATCTCCATCAACGTTAAATCATAATTAAATCATCATTAAATTGTTGAAAACTCTGACGAGCATATGTGCATTATTTATTTGGGTAAGACGTTGAAAAATTTTTACTATTCAAACTGCCCACAAATAGTAAACAGAAAATACCCGTAGCCGTTTGTCTTTTACGTGTAGACCATGGTTTACCGCGGGGAAACGGGTAGAAATTACGGGTAAAAATGCTGACATCAGCAAAAATTGGTAAACAAAATGGCGATACTCGTACCCGTAAACCGGAACCGGGGTATCTTAACCTCTCTAATGTAACACAAATTCCACGGTAATTATTGGGTTCAAGTTTGTCACATTCAACTTTATATAAAAATCAGAGTTATCGGATCTTCACACCATTCTAATGGGAAAATTACGCTTTCTAGTGCAATATTAAATAGTTGATGATAGCCTTTGGCTTTGAGCAAGATTTAATCATTTGATGTAAAAATTTAACTTCTTATTCTGTCGGACTAGGCTGATTTATCATGAATTTCTAAATTTCTTGGCTACATCACCCAAAGCATCTAGTTCTATAGAAAGACATTGGAAGTGAATATAGGTAATTTTTAGGAAGAATATAATATATTAAAAAAGTCATGCAACCAAATTCTGTGACGTAAAAATAGTTGATCACCAAACCGATCATCCCATATTAACTAAGTATTATTACAAAAAGTATACGTCTAATAGTACCCTCTGGTGTTCCGTGGAGAAAATGTTCTCACACATGCTTTTCATGCATAAACTTGCAGCCAAACCAAGATTTGCAGGATTTTGTAAACACAAATTATCAATGATCCCAATTTTTCGAATTTCTGTACTATTTTGCAAATACTGTGCATATACAACATGAAATATACTGCATGTGATCGTCAATGATCGAGTATATTATCAAGATTCGAACACACGTGAATCGTATACTGAACAGCAAATCTACTGAATATTAAGTGGTCTACAAGACAATTAACTTATAACATTACAGACAATTAACAATAAAAATATTTAAACTAGGTTATCAAGTTTAGTGTCAGATAAATATTAGATTAGGGTTAGATTAAGATTAGGTTAAAGCTCAACATGTGTCGCGAGTTTATCGTGTTGATAATTTCGGACGTGTTTAACAATTTACTTATATAGTAAATTCAAAGGTCGTGGTCATGCTGGACTTCCACGTACAGTCGACGTCCCCACTCACACATCTGTTTAGCACTTAAATATAGCCGTATTCTTTATTAATTATTTTTCATGTGTGCATACGAAGCTGGCTGAAGTTAGCTTTTTGGTTCATAGAGAGTATGTATAATAACCAATTTTAAAACTACTTCTGTAAATGAAAACATTCATTATTCAAGACGTATACAAACTTTAAAGGGTGCTAATAGTAATTTTTCATCGACAGTTGCTTCCAGGTACAACTACTTTAGATGCATGTGCAGTGGCGTGCTGGGTACTATTTTTCTGGGGAGGCCAGTCGGCTGGCAACTAATATGCGCCCCTATAATATTACCCTTGATAAACGAGGGCCGAAGGCACGAGCCGAGCGCCGCAGGTGCGAGGTTCGCCTAGGGGGGTCCGGGGGCATGCCCCCCAGGAAAATTTTTGAATTTAGAGTCTCTGGAATGGCATTTCCTGGACTTTGGGGGAAGATTTGACAGAAATCTGATGGTCAGGAAACGGCATTACAACGTGTCGAAATTTGAAAATTGGTTAGAATTTAGTAGTCGCACTTAAATTGGGCAATGCTAACTACTTCCAGCAATTAATCTAATCCCAATTCTATTCTCTACTGATCTGAATACATTTACAATTTACAGCTCTTTTATACAATAACACACGAACCCCACGCATATGCATTTTAAGGTTTCCTTGCCTGGCTGCCAAAAGAGCGTGTTTCATCATTATCTCATTACTTACATTACTCATAATGTTTCTTGCGCAAACAACTAAATTGCGTACACAACTTTACATTATCATAACTTCAACTATCTAATTTGCGCCGCTCTCGTGATTCGTGAAGCATAATAAAGGGCATAATATAAGGGTATAATACCAGCAAAAAAGGGCATAATTCCCGTGATCGCTTCGAAGCCTGGTCAATATTCCGATAATGAGACATTGCGTGTGATCACTGATCATGTTTCTATATGAACGAGTGATTTCGTGTGAGTCGTGAGGTAGCAAATACGGTTAGACAAAATAGTCTGCAATTTAATATACTCACTTTGTCGCATATGCGTTTAGTCTGTTTATAAGTCTATAAACACATCTTTCCTTGGTGGAATTAGTAACTATATTTTTTCGAATGCGTTTCTTCCCACCTACTTTCAAAATTCGGCGCGGGATCGGCGCCCCCTTTTCATTTTTGCGCCCCCCAAAAATTGCCAGCTGGGGGGGGCCGTGGCCCCCCGGCCCCCCCTGCCAGCACACCACTGTGCATGTGTATGCTGCATCAGAACATGTAGGCCCACTTTGTAATACATTTATACGTAGTACCTCAATTTGATGTATATCAACTTTCTTTTATTCTCTTTTCATTTCTTTTAGCCCTGTCTTCATTGCGTCCACCTTTTGGGAGTAAACATTGTAGTTAGCTCATGTAATGCATGATTGTTCCAGGGCTCAAAAAAATATTTAATTTCATACTATGTCGGTCATGCATGGTGACTGGTCAACTCCGACATCATACTGTATAGGCGAAATCGTTTTGACTTTTCGCAAGATTTAAACATACAAATTGATCCACAATACTTCTCAAATTCATTAATAATTCATGAGTAATTAAACCAATAGCATGTAAGCATTCCGTGACGGAATTTCCGTCACAAGATGCTGTTTGGATACCGTGGTCAAACACCGTCAGACACAGCACCACAAGAGTTTAGCTGCATACGTAATTAAGATATTTGATGAAAGTCACTAATGTTTTCATCAAATATCTTAATTACGTATGCAAAATCAAGTCAGCAAACAAATTCACACCCAAAATTGCTTTTATCGTAATCACTCTTTGTCGTCTACATGGCTTGATACGAACAATCAAATCATTATCTATACATCGTGAAAAACCCACTTCAGTTATGCAATGTGTATCTCGAGCTCAATAGAATATATTCCTACAACGCCGTGAAGGTATGATCGAGTTTTACTATGTCTATAGTCGCGTATATATTTTTATGTTGCATGCCCAGCATGTGTTGAGATTATGACGTCACAAACTCCCGAACACTTGAACTTTCCAATATGGCGGATTTTAATGGCGGCCGCCAAAATTCGAAACTCAGGCCAAATATGAGATATCACGCTAAAATTTTGCGTGACAGCTTCTTGATACGCATTCTTCACAATCATGGAAAAAACAGAAATGAAAATTTGGTCACAGTCGCACTTTAATTAATTAACAAACAACGAGAGAGTTTGTTAACTGCTCAGTCTAGACGACTTAGTATTAAAGATTATTTGCGTCAGCTAAACGCCACAAATAAAAAAAATTTCTAAGATGTTTGATCAAAACGTCACGAATGATAACAGGAATGGATCACATAACAAGCCAAGCGTCTGTGCTAAGTGTGCTTTCATATTGCAAAAAGCCAAAGAAGTTTATGACATTTTTGGTTTCGCTGATTTCGTTTGCTTACTTTGGTTTTTGGTTTTCGTCGACATTTACAGTAAGTTAATGTTCTTGGATATTCTTATGTATGTAGATTTTGTGAACACAGACCTTCGTTTGAATGTATTTACTCGAGGTTTTAATACGTTGATAGACAATACACTGCCGTGTGTAAATTGTAATTGCTTTTGACAAATTTCACTCTACTTTTCAATTTTTATGGCAACATTAAACGTGAATTTATTCCACAAGCCTGCAATATATGTATATTTAAGTGTCTTACTTGTATTAAAATTGGCGAATTTTAGTACTTCGTGAAATATAATCCGCGCGAAAAGCTTTGTGATCTAATATGAGACACTTATTATAATTATTGTTTAATAGTAATACTAATGCAAATCAGTTGAGTTTACATTCTTGGACTGCATTATAGATCATCAAGTGTTATTACGTCGTCTTGAAGTCAGCTTTGGAATAACATGGTAACGTGTGCTAATAAATGGTAACTACTCCGAAAGTTTCTCTCTCCCTCTGGTGTGACGCCGGACGGTGCTACTAATGAGCTAATTGAGCTTGATGTAATATGTGCACTACAGAATTGTATCAAGGATATCAGGACTTGGATGACAGTTGATAAGCTTAAACTGAATGATGGGAAGACAGAGTTTTTAATAATTGGAACCGCTGCTCAGCTCAAAAGGTTAACATCTCTAGTATTGTCATTGGTCAAGATAATGTTCCAGTAGTATCGTGTGCCATAAATATCGGAGTATAGTTTGATAACAAACTTAACATGTCACATCATATAAATAAGACTTGTCAATCCGTAGTATATCATCTTCATAACATTAGACGTATTCGAAAGTTTTTAAGCTATGAAGATAGAAAGTCTGTGGTACAAGTACTAATATAATTAGAGACCTTAAGATTGACGTTTACGGCAAACGTCAAACCGCTAGCGAGGTTTTTGATTTTACAACTCTATTATAATAGCTTTTACACCAGTTTTGAAATATGTTAAACTTGTTAAACTTGTGCTCTTTAGCAATGATTTAAGAAAGCAAATTAACCACTGGTCATGCAATTCACCAAAGCAGTAAATTGAGATTTGGCGTTTGAAGTTGGCGTTTGGCGTATAAATTTCATGCTTGAACTGCTACGAGGGCTTGTAGTCGTTAAAGCATGAAATTTATACGCCAAACGCCAACTTCAAATCTTAATTTACTGCTTTGGTGAATGGCATGACTAGTGGTTAATTTGCTTTCTTAAATCATTGCTAAAGAGCACAAGTTTAATAAGTTTAACATATTTCAAAACTGGTGTAAAAGCTATAATAATAGAGTTGTAAAATCAAAAACTTCGCTAGCGGTTTGACGTTTGCCGTAAACGTCAATCTTAAGGTCTCTAATGTCAAGGATAGACTACTGCAACAGTCTTCTATTTGGTGTCACAGATGTACATCTGTCTAAACAGATGTACATCTGTCTAAACTACAACGGCTATAAAATACAGCAGCGCGTCTTATCTGTTCTATCCCTAAACATGATCACATCACTCCGACTCTCATCAAACTACACTGACTTCCCGTTCGATTAAGGATCAAGTTCAAAATTGCCATGCTTGCTTTTAAATGTATCCATCAGTATGCACCTCTCTATCTTGTTCATATTTTAAAAGTAAGAAAGACTACATCGTGCTATAGTCTAAGATCTAACGAAGGCACATTGCTTGAAGACTACAGCACAAAAACAAAGAAAACACTCGGCGACAGAGCATTTGTAACCTCCGCTCCAAAAATCTGGAATAAATTAGCTATGCATATTAGAAATCGATCTGCATAACTTTAGTATTTTCAAGAAATTAGTTAAGCCTTTAATGTAAATACTTCATGTAACAAATATAATCTATATAATCTTCTTTATATTTTTAGTTAGTAGGCCTAACCATTCAGCACAGAATAATTTTAGTGTAATTATATATTTTGTGATGCGCATTTGATCATATACTATAACATGTTAATTTGCGCAATATAAATATTAAATATTATTATTATTATTACTCATTATAAATGCGATAGTTCTATTATTAAACAAACCAAAAAGAACGAACACGGAAAATTACTTGCGCGAATTTAAAGCAGCGCGAATAAGTCTCAACAAGGTGCGCGAATTTAAAACTGAGCGAGAATGAGTACGACTCGAATTTTAATACAAGTAAGGTATTTCAAATTAATTGATTCTAAACGATATATCTCGTCTTTACTGGAACGCGAGCGTATTTTAATAAATCACTATATCAATTTGTATGAAATTTATAAATAATCATTTCAAAACATTGTAGCTTAATGCTAATTTATGTTATAAATTATTATCGTTAAATTAAATGGAAAATATAACTATTTCTGAAAACTGTATGTTGGTCGTCACATAACAATTTAGGCATCTCGAGTTCGAACTGGAGTCCACAAAATGAAGCCAGCTAGCTTGGTGTTGTAATATATAACCGCGCAGACAAAAGTGATCACAATATATAAATCCAAATTTATATATTTCAGACTTAATTCTCAAAGCTTCCGTATTTAATGTTTTGGCTCGCTACGTGGCACAATACTATTAATAGCATCAGGGTCGTAGCGAGGGGGTATTGGGGGGGGGGGGTTAACCCCCACCCCCAACTTTTGTATAATTAACATATTCGGAAAATCGGGTTCGCCATTTGGAAAATTATGGCAATAATAGTATAACAAACTTTCAGTTGTTTAGACAGAGAAAATATTACAGTATAAAATGGTATTGTGATCAGTTAATATAGTTATAAACTGATTTACGAAATCACAGCATTTACAATTTTACAGGGATAACATTTAACAAATCGTAAATCGGTAAATGTTTTTTTCGGTTTATTACTTCTCAGGGCCGTTGCAACGGGGGGGGGGGGGCTAGGGCAGCAGCCCTTACAATAATTTGCTGATAATCACTTTTTTTTCAAAATCATGCACACCTTCATCATTTAAATAATATACTTTTAAAATACTGACAATTGATTAATTTTAAGCGGCTACATTATCCATGACAACCCGCAAAGAATCATATTACCCTTACTCTTTCCTGCAACTTCTCCAGTGTAAAGTTAATTAAATACGCCTTCGCCCATTTAGTACTACTATATTGTAAGCAAATTGTAACAGATTTCGACATACTAAAACTCTATTAACAACTCGAACCGACTTGACCACGTAGCTCAGTTGCATATGACAGAGCATGGGACTAGTATCCCAAAGGTCGCGGGTTCAATTCCCTCATTTCCGCCGTGGCCAAGCAAATTTTCAGCTTGCCCGGTGTGGATGAACACTCAGAGTAACATCACAAACATCATATTCACCTGAGTATATAACACCGACACACAGACAAAAATCATATCATAGATTACACTGATATCGAAGGAACTAGATTCAGTTCCGAAATATCAAGAAATCGAACCGACTTGACCACGTAGCTCAGTTGGCAGAGCATTGGACTAGTATCCCAAAGGTCGCGGGTTCGACTCCCATCGTGACCAAACAAACTTTTCACCCGGTGTGAATGCATACTCAGAGTAACATCACAAATATCATACTAAAACTCTGTTTTCTGACCATCAGAATTCTGTAAAAACTTCCCTCAAAGTCCAGGAAATGGCATTTCAGAGAATCTAAATTTAAAAATTTCCTCGGGGCTTCGGTCCTCGTTCCCACCCCCAATCAAAAAGAGCTTCCTACGGCACTGCATGCTTCTGTAATATGTCGTTGTTTGTAAGTTGCATCTTCATTTTCCGGATAGCAAACACTTTCGTGGCTTCGTACGCCATGAAATATTCGGAAATTTTTGGCTTACACCCCCCCATTTCGCAACGAAACTTCGGACTATTACTAATTTTGTGATGCTCTTTCAAGCTGTGATGAAATTTTTGTCTAGACTTGTCTAGATCAAAAGTTTAGTTATAAGGGGAAAGGTCCATTAGATTATTTCTGCAGCCAAAAATCCGTTCGGTAAAATGAGTGTTATTTCCAGTTCCGCGTTTTATCCTCAATTAGTATAGTTACGCAGGTGATTATTGAAAATTCTCCACGCTGATTGGTTGCTGTTGAGTCGGAACTGAAGCGACGAAGGACAAGGCAGGCTGTTGAGGTGAATTTATTTCGAGTGTTGAACATGATATATCACCAGTGTCTGCACAGTTTATAGACTAAGAGATCTTACTAAGAGATCTTAGTCTATAAACTGTGGTGTCTGCCAGTGACTGAGTGAGCACAGCGAACGAGTGAGATATCATAAAAGCGATAAAGCGATCATTTTCACATGTGAAATTATCATAAATAATCTCACATGTGAGATTATCAGTTTTATCAGTGCTCAAAATCTCTATAAAGCACTATACTTTATATAAGAAAACGCGATAATCACCTAAGCGATTTTCGAAATGGCGATCGTCGATCGACCGAAGCCGTTGTGTCAATTAAATGACGAAGAAATGTGAATTTTTTCCCAAATAATCACCTATGAAATTATACTAAAACAATTATTCACCTTGGGCTCGGTATTATCGTGAATAAAAACCTCGACTTTGTCTCGGTAGTTATTAACTTCTTCACCAATAATCACCTCGCCTTCGGCGAATAATTGTTAATATGCAATTTTGGAAGCGCAAGTCCGTTTCTGCAATTCCAGATCCTCGTTTTGTCCAACCCCTACGATTACATCCTTGCCTCAGCTTTAATACGATAATTTTCTTTATACGTCGTATCATTCGGTACCTGGTACTGCCAGGGGACATGTCGAAAAACAAGTGAACTTTGGATCATACATTGTACCAGCTACTGACATATCACGATTCACCATTATTATTGCCTGTTTTTGTTCTTTGTGCATAACCTGAGGAAGAATTGGAGGAAGTCACTACTATACTGTGTCTATATAGGTATGTATTCTAGTTACTTGTACATGCATGTAATTAGCACCCTTTATTTGGAGTTAAGTTTGTATATGCAACAAATTTGAAAGTGAATTAAATTATTCATATATAAATAATTCTTAGTCAGAATTTTCATTTGCAAAAATTTACCAATGTTTTTGCTTATTTCATTGTTATTGCATTGAGTCAGGATATCGACAGCTTCGTTAACTGTTATCAATGGACCTGTTCCCTAATGAACAAAATTTCGATCTAGACAAACATTTCACCACAGCTTGAAAGAGCATCACAAAATGTCAAAATTAGTAATATTCCGAAGTTTATAATTTCGTTGCGAAATGTTGCAAAATGCGGATAATTATATAGCACTGCGAAGTTTGCCGTTTTTCGGTCATTTTGTATTACGCACGTGAAAACGATACCGCTTTCCGCTTTCTGAAAAAGGTATCAATTTCCCGCGTGCGTAATACAAAATGACTGAAAAACGGTAAACTTCGCAAGGTTATATTATCCGCATTTTACAACATTTCGCAACGAAACTTCGGAATATTACTAATTTTGTGATGCTCTTTCAAGTCGTGATAAAATTTTTGTCTAGACTTGTGTAAATCAAAATTTTATTCATTAGGCAATAGTTACGTGCAGTTCAAATTACTAGCACAAAGTTGAACATTTCCTAATTCCTATACTATAGAGTTAGTACGATTACAATTTATAATTCATGCAGTAAGCCACATAAAAACACAAAACATATTAATTAAATCGAGCATAACGATACATTGTAAGCGTTTAATTTGGCTAAATTTTAACATTTTTATTTGTTGTGACTACGAAAATATATTTCGCCGTGCATAAGATCTGCTTTGATAAATCGTCATTCAAAATCACATATATTTCGAATGGACAATACAAAGCTATTAAATTGGAACAATGTATAAACCAGGTTACCAGGGCTTGAACTTTACAGTGGATCTATAATATACAAGGGATACCAGATTTTATGAATCATTTTTGTATAACTACATAATATATTGTAGATTCATTATAGGCTACCATCAAATTCATAACAATTGAAAACTCATTTTACCAGTTATTTAAAAGTTTGAGTTTTACTGGCCAATTGTGGGATACAGATTTTCGTGGTGCATGGGCTACATTCCTGGACAAAACATCTGCGACACTTATTTGACAAAATTTCGTAATATTATATCGGAAATTTAGAAACCTCCCCCTTAACCCCACCAATCAACGTTGAGTGCATTCGTAAAATACGGATAAAACTTGATAAAACGTCCAACATTGTTTTGGGGGTGGAGGGGGGCCAACGAGTAAATTATTTCCGTCTAAATGGTAAAAAAGCCAGATGAGCCAGAGTGTCGCAGATGGTTTTGTCAAGGATTGTAAATTTCAAGTTTCTTGCCCACTGGATAGTGCCAAAGATTTAAAATTTCAAGCCCTGTAAACGATGCAATATTTAAGTTATAGAATGAGTAACATACCAAAAGCTGTTTAAGATCACCTCAAATGTCGATAATGCAAACAAAATCAATTTATATATGTCACATTTGAATAAACAAGACACTCTATAGAGCGTTAACTCGCTGGCATGGGCCTATAGAAAGAGAGGCCCATTTGGATTTTGGATGGTGCTACGATCATATATGATGTGCATTGTGTATATATATAGTGTTGTAATAGGCACAAAATGACACCATTACACCAAAATATGTTCAAGATCACCTCAAAATTGGCATATTGTAAACGCTGGTCTGGATTTGGACTGGACTATGGACTGGATTTTGGACTGGAATCTGTCAACTCTCTTTACTCAGTTTTTCGCTAATTTCCCATAATTATGGTTAAAAACAACAAGAACGAGCTCAAAATCTCGAACTTCATAATTAGTAAATTAGTAAATCACTTTTCGGTTAGTGATTATTAATTTTTATTATATATTTAATAACACCGTGTTCAACCTCGTTCCCAGGGCTTCAGTGTGAGGACGAGGCGAGACACGAGGAAGCCCTGGTCCGGGCCGGTCACGTGACGACAAAATTTGGCAGTATTTGACAGCTACTCGTCAAGGAGTGGCGAGATATTCTTTAATGAATTATACAAGTCTTCGAAACAAATAAATAGCCAAAGGACTTCTCAATCGATATCATTTATGTGTAGAGCGAAGTTTGGCACGAATCAGCTAAAATCTATGAAGATCCCGTCTATGTTTTCTAAGATATACCGATATTTCTGGAGATTTTCAACTACAGGCAAAGCTGCATCCAAGCTGCATCTAGGCGTCTCCATGCAAGTGGTGATTCACACGAAATTTCCTTTCTCTCGTCTTGAACAATACGGCTATTGCTATAATTAATATTTAGTTTAAATATGCTCTTATAGATCTGAGTGATTTAGTTCAATATAAATAAACAAATATAAACCTCGCGTAAGCTGTTTACGCTGTACAGGAGTATACGGATTCGCTTGTTTCGTCGGACACCAACACTTGCCGTTCAGGAGCCGAATGCTTGCCTACAAATTTTATCCCCTTCACAATCTTTGTTTTATTTTATCGTATAGTCGCAATTTTCAAGTATTCGGGGGTATTCTGAAACTGAAAAACTGGTTGGCGTGCGAATCTTGTAGAGACTACATCGGCCTAGGCGTAGAGCTATTAAGTAAACAGGGCCTAAATTAATTTAGTAGCTTCATTTAATTGTTTGTCTTGCTTTTATTTGTCAGTACAGAATATTGTAAATTAAAATATTACTACAATGCAATACGCGCAGTATTTCATCAGACATCTGCACTAATAAATACTGTACAAGGAAAACTACAGCTTAAATAATAGTAGACGTTTCTTGTTTTGTCAGGAAACATCACAGCTCACTTCGACACGGCTTTTCAGTTTAGTAACCGGCCAAGGCGAAAGTAAATCATGCAGTCGGGAAAACGCACTGATCTGAAAGAAAACGTCTTACTTTGAAAGATTATTTTGCAAAACATACTCGTACACACAAGAATCATAAAAATGCAAATGTTGAATTGTTATTGTCAACTGTCAAGTTCAGCTATTTTTAGACAATATGGTGTTAGCCAATCAGAATGCAAAATTGACCGGCCCGGACCAGGGCTTCCTCGTGTCTCGCCTCGTCCTCACACTGAAGCCCTGGGAACGAGGTTGCACCGTGTTAAATTAATCTGGTTATTTAATTGGCTGATTAAGATCACGTGATCTTCCAGTAAGGTTACATAACTTGTGCGAAAAAAATGCTGGGTGTAAAAATATAGTATTTACAGGGCCAGCATTATCAGAGAAATTCGGGGGCTCGGTGCAAATTTTTGTTTCGGGGCCCTTAATTTTTCCCAAAAATGTTGGCCGGGGGGGGGGGGATTTTTCTGGACATTAAAAAATGGGTCAATAAATTTTTCCGGACGACCATCAGTTTTAAACTAAGGTTCAAAAATTCTTTTTCCAGACAAACTCCTGTTCATTTAATTTAAAACATGGGTCACACCCTTTTTTGGGACCAATATCTGTAAAATTTAGGTTTAGAACATTTTCCTCATACCCTTATTTATATCAAAGAGTGTTGGAAATTATTATTTTT